GTCAACTGTATTACAAATCTTTCTGGTCTTTTCCAACCTGATAGATGAAAAACAGCATTTCATATCTTTATCTTGCATTTCTCTTTTATGATTTAGGATGAACACATTTTCATGTATTTAAAAGTGATTTGTGGGACTTCCCTGGTGGTCTAGTGGCTAAGGCTCTGTGCTCCCAATTGCAGGGAGCTCAGGTTCAATCCCTGGTCAGGGAACTAGATCCCAAATGCATGCCGCAACTAAGAGTTTGCATGCCACAACTAAAGATCCTGCATGCTGCAACTAAAGGTCCCGCATGCTGCAACAAAGATTGAAGATCTCGTGTGCTGCAACTAAGACCCGGCACAGCCAAATAAATAAATAAATAAAATTATAAATAAATAAAAGTGATTTGTATATCTATGAATTGTCTCTGTCTAGTTCCTTTTAAATTATTGGCCTTTTATATTGATTTGTAAGAGCTCTTTATATATTAAGTAAACTAGCCATTGATTGTATCTCTTGCAAATTTTTCTTCACATTTGTCATTTGGCTTTAAGGCTTTTTAAGTTAATCATGCATACATTAATTTTATGCACACAATGTATCAATATATTCTCTCATGACTTGAGAATTTTATGTCATGATTAGAAAGGACTTCACTCTGAGAGAATAATAAAAGATTCTTCCATTTATTTCCTTCTAGCACACTCATAGTTTTATTTTTACATTTAAATCTTTAATCCATCTGGAATTCATTTTAGTGCAGGAAGTGAAGGAGAGTTCTAATTTTATAGTTTCCTGCTGAGTGCCATGAAATATTTCCTTCTGCTGATGAACTGGTATGCTTTTCCTTCATAAACAATACAAATCACATAACTGATGAAAGAAATTTTCACATTCTGACTTACTTCACTCTGTATGACAGACTCTAGGTCTATCCACCTCACTACAAATAACTCAATTTTGTTTCTTTTTATGGCCGAGTAATATTGCACTGTATATATGTGCCACATCTTCTTTATCCATTCATCTGTTGATGGACACTTAGTTTGCTTCCATGTCCTGGCTATTGTAAATAGTGCTGCAATGAACATTATGGTACACGTCTCTTTTTGAATTATGGTTTTAAGTCAGAAAGAGAAAAACAAATACCGTATGCTAACACATATATATGGAATCTAAAAAAAAAATGGTTCTGTTGAACCTAGGGGCAGGACAGGAATAAAGACGCAGAGGTAGAGAATGGACTTGAGGACATGGGGAGGGGGAAGGGTAAGCTGGGACAAAGTGAAAGAGTAGCATTGACATATATACACTACCAAATGTAAAATAGATAGCTAGTGGGAAGCAGCTGTATAGCACGGGGAGATCAGCTCCGTGCTTTCTGACCACCTAGAGGGGTGGGATAGGGAGTGTGGGAGGGAGACGCAAGAGGGAGGGGATGTGGGGATATATGTATACATATAGCTGATTCACTTTGTTATACAGCAGAAACTAACACAACATTGTAAAGCAATTATACTCCAATAAAGATGTTAAAAAAGAAAAAGAAATTTTCACATATTGAGGTATAGGGAAGTCATCCTGGCATATACATAAGTTAACTTGAATTTTATGCTAACTAAAACTGCCTGTGGCCTATCAAACTTATATTGTGCATCTGCTTTAATTATTAAGGAAAAGGGTGCATTGACCAGCAGTAAAAAATGTCCATGTTAAAGATAAAGATTAAATGCCTCCCCTCCTGGGTTGCCAATGGTTGTATTCCAATGTTTAAGACGCCCTTCCCAGGTGTCAAGGCTGTACTGACTCATTCTGTACGTGCTGATCTGTTTCTTTTTTTTTTAACTTTGAAGGAAGTATCCCTGACTTTTTTGATGTTCTTTCTTCTGACATGATATAAAACCAAGCTTCTCCGGAGCAGTTCCTCAGAGTTATCTGAGAGAGACTGCCTTCCGGGCTAGAGTCCTCAATTTGGCTCAAATAAAACTCTTTTCTATTCCTATTATATTTAGATTGTTTAATGATTATTTTCATCAACATAATTAACCCAATTTCCTTTTTGCTATGGCTGTGGGAAGATCAGAGAAAAATTCACAGCTATGCACAGATGTGAATTTCATACCTACTTCCCAATCTTCTTTGATGTTAATCTTTTACTTGCTTTATATTTTCTGTGATCTTACCTTTACTTTTCAATTTAATGGGATGTATTTTTATCAGGTTCCAAATATCCAGTGGAAAATAAAGTAGGTAGTGAATGAACAAATGAGCTATAACTCACCTGGGCCTCAGTTATTTCTTACTCTTCTTGGGTAAAGGCAAAGGCAGAGATCTCTAAGTCAGAGCTGGGGGAGGTTAGGGAATAGGAGGTTGGACCGGAGGAAGAGAAAATATAAATAGAGATATAAGAGCCTCATATCTCCCAGAAGCCTGAAAACGCCCACCCATAAGCCAGTAAGAGGTCACAAGTTGAAGCCAGGGAGGCCCGTGTGCTTATTATAGTCCCAACCTATGTATTGGTGACTGACATGATTGTGTAGAGCTAGGATTGGCAAACTTTTTCTGTAACGGGCCAGATAGTAAATTCTTTAGAATTTTTAGGCCATATGGTCTCTTTGGCAACTACTCAACTCTGCCATTGTAGTGATGACAAATTAAAATTATAATGGAGTAATCACAGTTCAGACATACAAAAAATGGAGTCGGGCTGTTGGGGATCTGGTCTCAGACACATCCCTGCACCACTGAGAACTTGAATTTTCTCTGAACTGTATCAAACTCAAGGACACCAGGGGCCCTTTTCAAAACAATATCTGCTAGCAGCTGCTAGTTGCAACCTTGTAGTTTCAAAGTCCCCCCTTGCTGAGTTTTATATCTTGTCAGAACAAAGAATATCAAACAGGTCAGGGTTACATTCCTTCAAAGTTAAAAAAAAAAAAACAGATCAGCACATGCAGAGCAAGTCAGTATGGCCTTAGCACCGGGGAAGGGAGTCCTATCACTGAAGGAGTACCAGCATTGGCATCCCAGGAAGGGAGGCATTTAATCTTTATCATTAACATGGATATTCTTTACTTCTGGTCAATGCGCCCTTTTCTTTAATAATTAAAACAGATGTACAGTGTAAGTTTGATAAGCCACAAACAGGCTGTTTTGTTTTAGTAAGCATAAAATTCAGGTTAACTCATGTATAATTGCTTTACAATACAGTGACCTCCTTTAGATCAATAAATTACAGTCCTAGAAATTTGTCACAAGAAAATAAACATGGTTGCACACAAAATTTTGAAAGCAAAGACTGTTATCTTATCCTGGATTATAACAATGAAAAAAACTGGACACATCCAAACATCGAGGAACAGAAGACTGGATCAAAAATCTGAGGCCATCCAAAAGACAGAATGCTATGCAGCCATGTCAACAATTATTGCGTGGTCTGAAACGAGAGAAAGCAAATGCTATCAAATATTAACATTTGGTGAATCTAAGTGAAGGCTATATTGGTGTTCAGTGCCCACTTTTCTGTAGGTTTGAAATGTAAAAAATAAAGTTGGAAACATTTTTAAAAAGAAAAAAAATGTTTTGGGGGGAATGTAAGTTAATAGACTTGCACAAACCCATCTCCAGCTCATCAGAACTCTGTGCTCTCCATGTTAAGTAAAGATAATAAATGTAACACCTTTTTTCACAAGAAAATGGTAGAGCTTAACTCGATAATATTTGTCTAACTACCTAGTGTCTGTTTTGATCAAACTAAATGTAATTGTAACCATATGTAACATGAGAAGATTTACCAAAAAATTTTTTAACTCACAATACTTCCTTTGCAATCATCTTGTTCTAAGGGCAAAGAAAAGCTTGATTTGCTCAGGTTTTGAGTATTTGAAACAAAGCTTGCTTAAAAGACACGTAAACCCGCAAATTATCTGGGGAGACTTCCCTGATAGGGGTGGGTGCTCTAGGCCCTGAAGGTGGGAATATCATTTGGGGGATCCAGCATCCAGGTTCTCCTCCAGGCTCAGGCTTGGATTTACTGGGTTAGATGCTATTATTTGAAAATTTAACGTGGGAAATAAATCCATTCGGTAATTTGAGCGCTTAAAAATAAAGTAATAAAAAGCTTACACATTTAAATAAAAACATAGGAACTATTTCAGCTACAGGATAACCTGTCTTGGGCAGAGGACTTCAGCGACCCTCCATTTGACGCCCCTATTAAATGACGTGATTAGACATAGCGCATTGTCAATCTCTTCTTGAACCTCAGTTAGATTGCGGGCCATAGAGCTGGAGTCATCAAAGGTGCATTTTAGAAAAACTGTCTCCTTTTAAAAACGTTTTTTTAATGCTCACAGTCATTTCCATTATCGGGAGTCAAACCCAAACTTCCCGTGTGAAAAATCAAAATCCAGGGCGATACAAGGATGTACTTTCCTTTTTACAGACCAGATCCATGATCGATTCTAGCCCGTCTGCTTCTGAAGCTCGGACTTATTTATGTATTTATTTATTTATTTTCAACACCTTTATTGGAGTATAATTGCTTTACAATGGTGTGTTAGTTTCTGCTGTATAACAAAGTGAATCAGCTATAGATATACATATATCCCCATATCTCCTCCCTCTTGCGTCTCCCTCCCACCCCAATCCCACCCCTCTAGGTGGTCACAAAGCACCGAGTTGATCTCCCTGTGAAGCTCCTACTTTTAAATACTAAACGCTTTACTCTCTCTACTTCCACCTGTGCGTCCCGCTTCCTCTGGAACCCGCCAAATCCCATTAAACCTCACCCCCACCAACCACGCACTGTCCTCATAGGCTCCGCGCTCAGTCCCGGTTCCCACTCTCTGCAGCCTTCCTTAATCTCATCGGATTTTGTAAAGCCCCGCCCTTCTCTTCTCTCACGCGTTTTCTTCCGTTCAGGACCATCCCACACCACCTGGTTATTTGGTTGGCCAGCACCCTCGTTGTACGTCATTTACCCGCGCCACCCGGAAGCTAAGGTTCTTACCAACCCTTCTTTTTGCCAGCGGCTCTCAGGTAACGGCCGTGTTTGGGTGTGCCTGTGTGACCGGGTCCCAGAGTTGGGAGGGGCAGAAGGCTGAACCCCCAGTTTGAGCCGGATGACCCCACTCCTAACGTTGAGAGGGTGCAGATGTACTGTGCTTGAGAGCAAACTGAGTGGTTATCGTGGTCTTCCCCCTCCTCGTTCCTCAGGAGCCCATCATGGCGACGCCCCCTAAACGGCGGGCGGTGGAGGCCACCGCGGAGAAAGTGCTGCGCTACGAGGCTTTCATCTCTGACGTACTGCAGCGGGACCTGAGGTGAGTGACAGAATAGGGGGCGGGGCGCTTGGAGCGGTGCACGTGGTGAGCGGGGCGTTCGAAGTCAGGGCGTATCCTTCTGATTGGTGGGTGAGGCGTTCGGAACCCGGCCCCGCGCGCCTTTCGAGGGGGTAGGAGGGGCGATATCCGGGGTGCGACGGTGGGCGGGAGAGGGAAGACATGGCGGTCTTAATGGAGGGTGTGTCCGCGCATGCGCGGGTTCAGATGGCGTTAAGGGTTACGAGCGAGTTTTCAGGTTCGAATCCTGACTTGGCCGTTTCGTTTTACGTGTGAACACGTTGTACCTCACCTCGAGTTTCTGTGCCTCAGTTTTCTCATCTGTGAAATGGGGAAGTTAATGCAACCTTCCTCATGTGGTGGTTTTGAGTTTTCAGCGTGTTCAGTCCTTGTAAAGGATTTAACTTGGATACTAGAGGCTCAATGAGTATGAAAAATTATTATTCCTATCATTATTAATCTGAGGAGGAAGTAGAGTTTTCAGGTCTAGGATTATGAGCATCCTAAAAGGGATGGAGGATTTTTTTCTAGGGTGAGAATAGGGTATCCTGATTGGAGGGAGGCATTGGGAGTAGAGTGAAATAATACTAATAAATAATAGCTAACACATATATAGAGCTTCTTGTTTGGCAGGCACTATTCTAAATGCTTTTTAGTAAACTCATTTAATCTTTCTAATGACTCTGTGAGGTAATACTCGTTATTCCTATTTTAAAGATGGGGAAATTGAGTTCCAAAAAGGTTACTCACTTGCCAAAGTCTCACAGCTAGTAAAATGGAAAGCCTGGATTCAAACCGAAGTAGTCTGACCCAGAGTTCAAATCTTGACTTCTGCACTAAAACACCTCTTTAGGACATGGTGACATGAGAGTCTCAGAGGGTCATGATATGAGGTATTCCAAGAGAGACAGGGTTTCCTCTTGGTCACCATTTTACTCTTGTCCCATTAGAAAGGTGCTGGACCATCGCGACAAGGTATATGAGCAGCTGGCCAAATACCTTCAACTGAGAAATGTCATTGAGCGACTCCAGGTAAAGGTGCCAGGGTTAGGTACCATCTTTTTGTGGGCAAAGGAGGGGGAAGAGAGGAGATACCCCAGACCAAAACCTGTCACCTAACCTAAAACTTGGCCACTGATCCCTACCTCTTTTTCCCCGGCCCCACAGGAAGCTAATCACTCGGAGTTATATATGCAGGTGGATTTGGGCTGTAACTTCTTCGTTGACACAGTGGTGTGAGTGTCTACCCACCCCTCTGAGCCCACAGGGTTCAGCTTCCCCTTTTCTTCATTCAACAAAAATTTTTTTTGAGTATTTGCTATGTACCAGACACTGCTAGGTGCTGGAGATGTGACAGTAAATAAGATAGGACAAAATTCCTGCCCACCCAGAGCTTCAATTTGGGGAAGGTGGGGGAGAGGGGAGTAAAAAAAATCTCAAACTGTGTGGTGTGCTAAACAGTGATAAGAACTTCCCCGCTTCCTCTAACCACTGTTTCCTTAGCCCAGACACTTCACGGATCTATGTGGCCCTTGGATATGGTTTTTTCCTGGAGTTGACACTGGCAGAAGCTCTCAGGTTCATTGATCGTAAGAGCAGTCTCCTCACAGAGTAAGTCCATTGCATGAGGATAGTGCCTAAAAAGCACTACCATTTGCCACACCCTTCTTCCCCCTTTCCCCATGGCTGCCTGGGATGATACTTAGGAACCCATCTCCCCTCCCCCTCAGAGCTAGGGCTGAGGAAAGTGGGGATGCAAAGCTTAGTCCCAGGTGTAGAACATAATAAGCACTGATAAATGGTCTTTGTATTGTTCACTCACACAAAAATTTATTGGGCATCTGCTGTGTGCCAGGCTCTGTGCTTGGTGGTGGGGAGGCAGCAGGGAACAAGACAAAAGGGTTCCTTGAAGGCTTACCTTCTAGAAGGCTTACCTTCTAGAAGGACTAACTGTTACACATCAGCACAGTTTTGACCAGATCCTGGAGGTCTCAGCCTATAAATCAGAAACAATAAAACAAATTACCTCTGACTTCACCTGCTAATTTTCCTGCTCATCCACTGTGCTCTCACCACACTAACCTTCACAGGCTTCTTTAAACACCCTCAGAATGATCCCACCTCAGCGTGATTGCAGGGGCTCTTCTCTCTGCCTACAGCACTCTTTCCCCAGGTACCTGCATTGCTTCCTTTCTCCTTATTCAATTTAAGTCTTGCTTAAATGTCACTTCCTCAATGAGGCTTTCTATAACCTAACTTTAAAATTGCAACCCCTGGCACTCCTGATTCCCCTCCCTTGTTCTACTTTTTCTTTTTTTCCCTAGCACTTACGACCTCCTAATGTTTACTGTGTAATTTACTTCTTTACAATGTTCATTGCCTCCTCGCATTAGGATATAAGCTTTGCAAAGAGAGAGATTTTCTCTATATCCCAAGTCACTAGAATAGCACATAGCACATAGTAGGCACTCTGTTGAATGAATTTAAAAGCATATGCTGGAAATAGATTTAAGTGGGGATTGAAGCAGATCTCTGTTGGTGGTGATGGGGAGGTAATGTGGGGATAAAGGATGGGCTCCAGTTGAGTTTAAGGTTCTGTGCAGGGAACGGGAATTGGGAGTGTGGACGGGAGGTCTGAAATGTGGCTAGGGAAGGCCTCCCAGAGGAAGTGACATTTGAGTCACTTGGTTGAGTGAACAAGCCATAGGGCTCTCTGGGGAAGAGCATTCCTGGCAAGGCAACCAGTGTGCCTGCCATGTTAGGAGGAGCTGCCGAGAATGGTGAGCATTCACTCACTCAGAAGGAGTGAGTGAGGGGATGCTGAGCAAATACACTTAGATTAACAACATCTCACAAGTGTGAACCCCACCGATCTAAGATTCCTTCTAGGTTATATTTCTCTTTATTCCTACATTCATTTCTTCCAGAGTTGCCTCCCTTAGGTTTCAGTAATTCTTCTCTTTTCAAACCTTTTCAGGATTTCAGTGTCCGTAGACCCAAATGAGCCTCAGACCCACTGGGATTTCTAAGTCTTACTGATCAGGCCAGTTGGTGAATAGTTTGGTCGAGGGACCTGGTTTCATAGGCCAATGCAATTCTGAACTTGGTGGCCATTTAGACCAAATCCAACTTTTTATGACAAAGCTTTCCTTGTTATGACACAGGATTCCTGAGCCTTTCAAATAGGTTTTAATTTTATGAAACTTGATGTCTTTCCCCAAAATGAGGTATTTGTCATTGCCTGCCCCCTGTCTGGTCTTTCTGATTTACTGACCTGGTCTATTAGTGTGATGAGAAATGTGAATCTCTTACTACTTTATAATTAGTAGGACTCCATAGTAATTGAATCTTTCTAGGAGATGAAGATTTGAGTCTGTGTAGCTCGCTCTCTTCTTTAAAATACTTGGTTATCCTGGACACATTTTAAAGTAACTTTCTTTCAGGTTATTTTATGTAACCGAAATGGCCTATCAGTCCTTCCTGTTCTTAGTCTGTTTCTTTGAGGAGTGGGAGGATCAGGTCTCTGTGTACATTCTTTCTGATTACAGAGAAAGGAGTACACATCCATACCCATAAGCAGACATGATTATAGAAGAAACAGAATAACCATATGACTATTAACACTGCCTTATATACTAATCAGTAGCAATAAATTAAACATATCCCTTTTGTGTTACAACTAGCATTTGGTGAACTTTATACTTTTCTCCTCCTTTTTTATTTTAAGCATTGAAACCTTTCACAGACTAAGCTTGTACATTGAGTGCCTACTATGTGCCACATACTGTTTTTGTTCCTGAGGATACAGCGGGAAACAAGGCAGACCAAATCTCTGCCCTTACGCAGCTTACATTCTAGTCAGGGAAGACAGACAGTAAACAAATAAGTAAAGGATGTAGTATGTCACAGGTTGACAATGTTGCAGAGAACAACAAGGATTGGAGGTGAGAAACATTGCCTCTGAGGGAGCAGTTGCAATTTTAAATAGAATACTTGATGGGATGTGGGGTGTGAGAAAAAGAGAGGAGTCTAGGTTTTTGGCTGAGCAACTAGGAGGATGGAATTGCCATTTTATGAGATGGAGAAGATAAGGGAGGAGCAGATTTGGAGGGGAAGATCAGGAGTTCAGTCTAGGACCTGTTAAGTGTGAGGTGCTCGTTAAACACTGAAGTAGATTTTCTGAAGATGTAGTTAAAACTCCTCAACTCGGGAGAGAGGGCTGCATTGAAAATATAAATTTGGGAGATAGTGATATATAAATGGGTTCGTACTATTTTTTCCCAATTTGACATCCTATGTTGTTGCCTTCTACTTTTCTTAACAGTATTTTGTTTCCTTAAAACACTCCTACACTGACAGATAGCTCAGCCAATAAAATCCACATTCCTATCATGATATCAAGACCCTGCATGATCTAGCCCCTTCCTACCTCCTGGATTTTATCCTGTGCTTCTTTCCTTCCACCATTCGCTTAATTTCTAACACTGGTCTCCTGACAGCTCCTCAAAAAGCTCTTTCCTGCCTCTTGGACTTTTTGTGGAAAAGACCGTCTTACTGTTTAACTCCTACTCATTCTTCAGAAAGGCCTTCCTTGATCCTTTGTATCAATTAGGATTCTTTTGGGTGAGACTGGTCCCAGTTGGCATAGATATAAGGAATTGACTAGTTCACATAACTCAACAGTCCAGAGCCAGAGTGGTTTCAGGCAGCTCCAGCTTCCCAGTTGCTTAGGCCTTGGTGTCTTTCTTAAGTCCTCTCTCTCGTACCCAGCATCCTCCTTTGGTAAATCCTGTTGACTCTACCTTCAAAATATATCCCAAATCCAATCATTTCTCATCACCTCAACTGCTGCTGCTGTGGTGTGAGTCTGCATCTCTCACCTGGACTATTTCAATAGCCTCCTCACTGGGCTTCCTCTTCCACACTAGCTGTCCTTATCCCTAGTCAGTTCTCCGCACAGCAGCCAGATGGATCCTCTTAAACCCTAGTTGTTTCATATCCCTTCTCTGATCACAATCATCCCCTGGCTCCCATCTCACTTAGAGTAAAAGCCAGAGTCCTTACCATGGCCTGGCAGCTTTTACATGATCTGTCTCCCCCACTTCCCTCTGTGACCTTACCTCCTACACCCCACCTTCGCTTATTTTTCTCCACCCATGCTGGCCTCTTTGCTGTGCCTCAGACATGCCAGGTACACTCCCACCTCAGAGCCTCTGCATTTGCTGCCCCTTGTGTCTGGAACACTCATCCTCCGTGTATTCACATGATTCGCCTCTTCATTTTAAGTCTACTCAACTGCTTCTCAGTGAAGCCATCCCTAAGCACTCTAATTAGAATTACAGCCCCCATGCCTGCACTCCTTATCCTCTCTTATCATTTAATTTTTTTTTATTGTACTTATAACCATCTGACATACTCCGTGTTTTATTCCATCACTGTCCTTCTTAATGAGAATTTGAGCTCCACGATGCTGAGATTTTTGTTTGTTGTGTTTGCTGCTGTCTCCCCAGTACCTAAAACGACCCGGCAGAGAGTAGACGTTCAATAAATGTCTCTGAATCTGTGCCGTCCAGATGGCAGCCAGGCATCTCTGCATAGGAGCAGGTCAGGTAATCGGATGTCCTACCACCTGCCGTGTGGAAGTCATCCATGATGTAGGTAGTTCCTGAAATGATGAGGAAGCATCATCCTCATGATCATAAGTGGGGCCCACTTTGCCCTTTCTTGTTTCTTTTCTCCAGGCTCAGCGACAGCCTCACCAAGGACTCCATGAATATCAAGGCCCATATCCACATGTTGCTAGAGGTGAGAGCAACTCACCCCATTCCCAGACACTATCTCCAAATGTTTAGGGCGGTGACCTGAGGAAGAGAGAGAGCCAGAGATGGGAAGTACCATCTTTCCCCCTAAACTGGAGTCAAATTGGAGCCAAGCTGGCTCGGAGGGAAGGGAGTTCTGAGCAAGCCTGGGGTGGGGCCTGGACCCAGGCTCCATTCAGTCTTTTCTGTTCTCTTTTTCAGGGGCTTAGAGAACTACAAGGCCTGCAGAATTTCCCGGAGCCTCACCATTGACTTCTTCCTACCTCCCCTGACATTAAAGAGCTTGAATGTCTTTGAGTCATATGGCCCTTCTTTCCCCCCTTAACCCTTGCTGTTTGCGAAAGTGCCCTGTTTCTAAAGCACAAAGTTACTAGGAGGCCCAGAGATCCAGTCTGTGTGGAACCTTTAAAAACCACTGAAGTCCCGTCTTCATCCTGTCCCCTGGCAGAATGTGCCACTTGACTTTCTGATTTGCCCTCTATACCATCGCCTTGACAATCTGGGCCCCCACCTGACCCTTCCATTTCTTTTCCTGTACAATACTCTCAATTACCTTAGAGAATGGGCCGATTCAGGGTGGAGGTTTGTTCCCCAAGGCAGCCTTTCACTCCTGGCCCTAGGGTTTACCCTTCTCCCACACCCCAATCGTTTCTCAGGTACCTTAAATTACACCCACACCCGTCTAGGCCCAACCTTGGCGTTGCCCCAGCTTCTAATTATCAATAGTTCCAGCTTCCAGCAATGGGCCTAGGGCTGGTCCAGCCCCTATTCTAGGTTGAGTCCAGCTTCCGCCAATCGATGCAGAGCCTGATTCCACTGCTTTATTACTGGCCGCAGCTCGACCCGCCCCCGTAGGCATTTAGTTTCCGCCACTCAACACTCCTTCGCTTGTCTGGCAGCTGCTCGGTTCTAAATTCGTCTTTTCTAGCCAATCACTACAGAGTTACCCTGCCCGCCTACGCAGAACCCTGGCCAGACCTCCTCCCTGCGGGCTGCTACGCCTGTGTACTTCTATACAAGTCCCGCTTCCGCTGAGCTGCGTAGAGTTTGGCACCTCCCCGTTAGGGGTTCTGGCAGCTAAGAGTCCCTCGGCCGCCAATCAGCAGAAAGCAGGGCCTAACCACCCCTATCCTCGGACGCTGGCTGTCTTCCATCAATCCCATATAGGCCAATCAGTGCGAGGCAGGCGTCCCCCGAACCTTGTCTGTCGCCCATGGCCTATCAATCTGTCTTGAACCAATCAGTGTGGAGCACCGGCGGGGCCGAGCACGCCCCCTCGGAACCCAGGCGGCCATCTGCGTTCCATCAGTTCCCCTCGGACCAATCACAACATAGCTCTGTGGAGCAAGGCCCGCCTCCCCAGCCCTGGAAGCCGCACCGTTGATCCACGGTACTTTGGCCAATCAGCGAACAGCGGAACGTTCGGCTCCTCCTTCGTGGGCCCACGTGAGCAGTGGGGAAACGCAGGGGCGGCTTCTAGGTGCTGTCGCCGCCACCACCGCCACCACCGTCGCCTCGGAACCCGGGCCTGGGGGGCGGTGGGGCCGCGCATGGAGCCCCCGCCCCCCGGAGCTGCCAACACCGCCGCTGCGCTACACACAGGTGAGCCCGGGGCCTGGAGGGTGGAGGGCCCGGTCCGTGACCCTACGTATCCTTCCCGCCCCCGCGCGGGGGGATGTGGCTTGGCCCGTGGCCTGCTGGTGTTCGACTCCCCACCACCACCACCTCGGCTGGTGGACCTACCTGTGCCGTTGTCCCCTCCCTTTGGCCCTTTGCCCCGTAGCTTAACCCCCCTTCCTGTTTTATAATGGGTCGGTCTGCGTGCTTGAATTTCTCCCCACCCCACCTTACAGTAGACTCGGCCGTGGTCTTGCCCCAGATCCCCGCTTATAGGGAACCAGTCTCTGGCAATGTCCACCTCCTTGACAGTAGGTGCGTCTGAGTGTTTGTATTCTCCTGTCCTCAACTTTCAGGGGCCCCGTCTGTGGCCTTGTTTTTTCATCCCTACTGTTCCTGTAGTGAGTCAATCCGTAGCGTTGTACCCCCCCCGCAACAGTGAGTTAATCTGTGAATTTGTATTCCTGCCTCCAATCCCCCAATGCATCAGTCTATGGCTTTATCAAACACACACACACACACACACACACACACACACACACACCATTTTACAGTGGATCAGTCTAAATGCTTGTTTTCACGTCCTCCTGCTTATCAGCCCATTGCCCTGTCCTCCCTTTTTTGTAGACTGTCAGTCCAGTCCTTGGGCTTCTTCTCCCTTCCTTTTACTAGTGGGTCAGTTTAGTGCTTTATATCTCCCGATTTTCAGTAGCCCAGTCCATGGCCTTGTCCCCCTCTCCTTTTAATCAGTCTGTGGGGTGGCTTTTCTCCCTCTCCACTATTGTGCATGAGTCAATGTGCTTTTCTTCTCTCCTTGCCCCTAGTAAATAAGGTGAGCCTTTACACACACACACAACTTTGCAGTGGATCTGTTCATTGGCCTTCCTGCCACCCATGTGCTTGCATTCACACCCCTCCAGTATACCCTCCTGTGAGTCCAGTGCTTTGTAATCCCTCCAGGAGGGTCAGACTGTGCTTTTATTTCCCTCCTCCTTTCCTTGTGCTGCATCAGTCTGTGGCCTTCCCTGCCACCCTCCCTCCTTAATAGTGGATCAGCCTGTGTGCTTGTTGAACCCAGGACTTTTTTACTCTAGAACACACCCTCTCATATACACTCTTAACCACTAAGACATCTTGCCTCCCTCCAGTAAATGAATACATTAGTGATAGTGATAATGCCAATAGGAGCTAACACTTATTGAGCACCTACTGTGTACCAGGCAAAATGCTGTGTGTTAATGAGCTCATTTAATCCACCCTATGAGCTAGGTACTGAGGGAAGTTTGGCATAGGGAGGTTAAATACCTTACACAGAGGTGATCAGTAGGTACCAGGTTAGGTTACCCCTCAGAACATAGGATAACTTTTTTTTTTTTTTTTTTGTGGTACGCGGGCCTCTCACTGTTGAGGCCTCTCCCGCTGCGGAGCACAGGCTCCGGACGCGCAGGCTCAGTGACCATGGCTCACGGGCCCAGCCGCTCCGCGGCATGTGGGATCTTCCAGGACCGGGGCACGAACCCGTGTCCCCTGCATCGGCAGGCGGACTCTCAACCACTGCGCCACCAGGGAAACCCCCTAGGATAATTTTTGAGGCTTTCCTCTCTCACTACATCTCACCTCACGCGAGGCCCCACTCCTTAAAAACCAAATTAGTTCCCATCTCCATGCTTTTGTTTTTGCTGTTCCCTCTGCCTGCAGAGCTGTCTCCATTCCACACCTTGTCTCAGCACCCATCCACCCCCGATCCCAGCAGCTATGTGACCTTAGTGGCTTAACCACTTTCTCTCTGCACCTCTCTCCTCACTGGTTAAATGGGGGAATCAGAACTAGAATACCCTCCAATGTAAATAAAGAATACCTGTGAGTTAATAAAACAAGTAACTTCTCTGGCCTTACCTCCTATGCGCCGCCCCCCCCAACTCTGTTCCAGCCACACTGGCCTCCTAACTCATCCTCAAAAACACCAGGTGCGACCCAGGCTTGGGGCCTTTCCCTTGGCTATTTTTTCTGCCCAGAACACTCTACCCCCCTCTCTGTGTGGATCCTTTCAGGGCTCTGTTCAAATGTCAACCCGTCCCTGACCATCTGAACCTGCACAGCCAGCAGGACTTAGACCCCTTCTCTGCTTTATTTGTGTCTTTGCCCTTTATCACTGTCAGGCACACTGTATATTTTACCAGTTTGTCATATTTATTGTCTTTCCCCGTTAGAATGGGAGTCCCATGAGGGACTCTTTTTGTCTGCTTATTTACTGCTGGGCCTCCAGCACCTAAAATTCTTATCCAGTACTTGATAAGAATTTATTGCACGAATGAATGGAAAAATATAATATCAGATAAATCAGGGTAGGGGGCAGATGGAGATGAAGAGGGCATAAGAGAGCTAGTTAAAAGAGGCTGGTTAGTTGGGACTATTCATTCAACAAACACTTACAGAGCACCTACAGAGCACCAGGCATTCTAGGTTCTGGGGATATGGGAGGGAACAAAACAGGCAGAAATTCCTGCCTTTGTGGAACAGACATTTGCTAAGAGTGCAGACTGTATAAATAAATAAGTCTAGTTAGTATGTTAGACAAGTGCTAAGGAGGAAAAGTGAAGTAGGGAAGGTAGGAATAGAGTATCAGGGTGGTTGAAATCTTAGGCACAGGGCAGGCCTCACTTAGAAGGTGCTTCTTGAATTAAGGCCTGAAGGAGTTCAGGAAGGGAGCCATAATGCCTAGGGAAAGAGTGTACCAGGCAGAAGGAACAGCCGGTGCAAAGGCCCTGAGGTGGGATTGTGCCTGGCATGTTCAAGGGCCATGAAGGAGGCCAGAGTGGAGGGAGAGGTAGGAGGCAAGGTCAGAAAGGTGGTGGGAGCCAGATGGTGAGGCCATGCTGATACATAAGATTGTGGGGGAGGGGCTGGGGAGGAAGAAGAGTGTCACGCCAGCTAATTGTAACATTTGAGTGTCTGCTATGTCCCAGAGATAACTTTTCTAAGTCCTTTACATACACTGACCTTTAATCCTCACAAAGGCCTTTGAGAGTAGGTGTATCTTGCAGATACTTTACTTTGAGGGTGACATATCCCCCATTTTACAGGTACAGAAGCAGAGCCAGAGAGGTTGAGTAACTCGCTCAAGGTCACACAGCTAGAACAGGACAGGAGTACGAGGCTGGAGACCCAGAGAGAAGAACACATTTGCAAGGACAGACAGGTTATTCGACACATTGGATCACACAGAGGAAGAATTAATTCTGCCTGGGAGATACCAGAACTTGATGATGTGTGTAATAAAGGGTTCATCATGTGTGGGGAAGGGGGAAGGGCACTCCTGGCAGGGAGAACAGCACATACATATTTTCAGAGATGGGAACTGGATTAACTCAGGGTGCCCATGCCAAGCTTGGGCCCACCTCAGAGCCTTTGTGCACACTGTTCCTGTGCTTGAAGCACCCTTCCCACAGATGTCAGCATGGCTTGCCATCTCCCCTCCTTCAGATCTCTGCTTAAATGTCACTTCCTCAGGGAAGCCCCCCCGCTCACCCTGTGTAAATTAGCATCCCTGTCCCCCTGTAGGACCTTACCCTTCTGTTTTGCTCTATAGAGAGCTGGTGGAGCAAGGTGTCCAGGATCACTGCCTAGTGCCAAACTGCCTGGGTTTGAACCCTGGCTCTGCTAAATTCCAGCTGTGTGAC